CCCAATAAGCCAGGCGGGCTGAGAAACCAGAAGCTAGCCTATGGAAATTGCCCCCAAACCCTGAGCAGTAGACATCACTCACTGCCTACGGGGAAGGCTGAGAAGCTAGATAATCTGCCCACTGTCACACAGCCTGTTGCGGAACAGCTTATGAACGAGGGTCTGACTGCAAAGCCCGTGTCTTTTTATGATCATCTACTCACCACATATGCGGTCAGTCAAGACAAATGTCACTTAAACCAAGAAAAGGGTGCATTTCATGAGATTGAGGCAAACAGTGTCAAAAGCAGATCTTTAAACAGGCTGAGGGGAAGGAAGAATGGCCCCTATATCCTCACAGCAGAGAAGTTACAAGAGACTAAGAAGGACACATCAAGTGAAAACAACAGAGAAGACAAACTAATTAAAATGTCAGTTGTCTGGAAGGTCAGGCCGAGAAGAGATTCAGATTCGGGCAGGCCTTGTAGATGGTGGGCTGGAAAGTCTAAGGTGAACACGGAAATATTCTTTCTGCTAGTTACGTTTTTAGATACTCATTTGCGGTTAATAATCTCAGAGGGGTTTCAAAAAGGGCACCCAGACACCACCGGCCAATGACCCGTGGACATGCATAAGCCTTGGGGGCCTCTGGAACCGGGAACTACACACAAATTTGTATGTGCTCATTTTTCTGGGCATATTCCTTCATATTCTGACTAAAACCGGCAATTCTAACGTAATTTAAAATCACTATCTGGTTACGTTCCCAAGCTGTGGGTTTTTAAACAGGCATTCAGAAAAGCGCCTTTCTCCAATCCTGAAGGCTGACTGGTATAGGACCCACTACCAGGAAGTCTGAGGCCCTCGGGGTCAGGTTAAGGGGACGAGGGCATGGCTCTCCAACCTGGGAAGTGAGACCTTTCTTCAGGCCAGTTGTGGGCTGACTGTGGAGCTCATACTTCCCATATTGCTTTCTAGCTCCAAACACAAGCAGGAAACAAAACAAAACCGCTCTCTTCCAAAAGCCCTCCCTCTGAAGCAACGTATATAAAGGCCAGCGCGTAGGAAGCACCCACACTGGCATGACAGTAGCGGTTCTCATCTTATTGTTACTATTTGTCCCCACCGCCTCCAGGCATGTGTTCACGCTAGCTCCACGGTGCCATTCATCAACTATTTCCACACCGAAACCTGGAAAATGGGGGGG